CCCCTGCCCCGCAGGCACCCGCGGCCCTGGCGGAGCGCGCCGCGGGCGGCCGTCCGTCCCGCGCTCTGCACCGGGCGGGCACGGCGATTCTCTCTCCCGGGATAACCGCCCGAGCCTGTGCCTGTCGGGCTCGAGAATAAATCCAGCCGGGAAATCGGTAGCTAATCTATTAGCCTGACTGCCGCCGTTGCTGTGACTGAAGCGCAAAAAAACCCCAAATTTGCGTCTATAGGATCGTAGAGTTTGAAAGGCGCATAGTCGTTTTATTTATTTATTTGTAAAGTCGACTTCCAAAATGTCACAAGTGTGTCCCTGCTGGGGAGGTTCGATCGAGTTCAAGACCGCAGTCTTTCAGTCTTTAAACAGGCGGGTTAAATCCTTCTGTGTTTGCACGCTGCTTGCTGGGAACGCCACTGCTTCTGTTTTATGGTGGAAAGGGTTTAGTGTTTAGATTTGACTATATGTCCTAGGCTTCTGAGAACTGTCTTGCAGTAGTGGAGAAAAGAGTTTAAATGCGGCTATTTTAATTTTCCCATCAGTCATGGGTTTGAAACAGGATTGTTGGTGTTTGCACCCACTCCCCTTTGTGTTCCAGAAGTTCTAAATTGCTGTTGGGGAAAGGGGAAAGTTGTGCGCTCCATCATGGAGCGGTCCTGGTGCATGCTGTTCCTATTTACCTTGCTATAGCCTTAGTGACAGCTAGATGAAGGCAGTGAGGGTGATTTTTTGTGATAGGTAATTTCGGGACAGATCAAAGGCCCACCCAACAGGAAGCCTGACGCTTCCCACTGATGAATTGGTGTGGTGTAACAAAGTAATTAAGGCTAGGGAGAAGCTTAGCTTGAGGCATTTAATTTACCTCGCTGTACCAGTAGTTCTGTGAGGTGGCTGTCATCTGAAGTTCATTATTATTTAGATCTGAAAGTGCTTGGTTCTTGGTGTACATACTTAACCTGTTCAGTTTGTTTGGCAATGAGGCTGAACAGTGGGTAGAAACATCTTCCTCCATTAATACACGTACACAGTAAAAAGTAGTGTATCAACAGGGATTGACTACTGTCACTTACTTTTAAGTTTGAATAGAACAAATTAGATAGTTCTATTTTTCAGCATATCTTACCCAAAAATTTACTAGGTAAATGGTTTTTATGTAACAGGTATTTTGGAAATGCTTAATTCCTCTTCAAATTTGATAGTATTAATTTAAAGCATAGATAGTATTTTTCACTTGAATTTGCTTCTTTTTCAGATATGGAACAAGTCGCATAGCATACTTCAGAGAGATTCTTCAGCTATCATACTAATGTAAAAAGCAATAACTTCAGCACATACCAAGCCTAAAATATTTTAAAGCAGCATAAGGGGGAACTGTGTCTGGAAAATTTTAGCCAAAGTTAATAGTGAAAATACAATCTAAAAAGCTGGTGCAGTCACCATCTAACATCCCCACAGACAATAATGATATGATAGCCCTGAAGTTTGTTTTTTGACAGTACTTCTTAGAAGAGTGCAGGCACCATTTGCAACTTACTGTTCAAATTCTGTAATACAGTTGGTGCTGGCTCCTCCTGTGAGTGACAACTCAGGAGTGGAAGGAGGCACAACTGCTGAGCTTGAAGTCTAAGTAGGGCTTAGGTAGTAGGGCTGGTTTTAATGCATTAAGTGTAGTGCAAAAAACCCTTACAGGAATATGGTATGAAGTAGTAAATTCCCACAGTTACAGTTCAGCTTTGGTCATAACAAATGGATGGGTTGACTTGCCTTATCTTGGTTCTATGTTTTTCTGCTTTTGCTGTAAGATGCAACTGGCATAGAAGCATAAATATAGCAGAAACGTATCATGTGTTTTGGCTATTTGCTCAAACTCCGGTAAGCAGTTGTGGAGCCACTGAGGTTGTGGCTCTGACTAACATTGCTTAAAGTTCATATTTACAGTCCATTTAAGTATTGAAAGTTGTTTTCCCCAACTATAAAGAAAAAATCTATTTATTGTGCATTACTTTCTCTCTTACATTGTTACCTTGAAGTAACTGCCTTGCGCTGACACTGAACTCTTTTATTGGTTACTTTCAGTTGTTTCTGAAGCAGCCAAACCTAAAGAAGCAGTATATAATACTTCAGTGTCACTCTTCTTGAGAGCAGCAGACTTCTCTGGGAAGCCAAGTCCCTAAACAGTCCTTGGCACTAAACTGTCCTTTATTGGTTCCACACTTGTTACTGTCGCACTTTGGGATCATCAGGCATCTTCCACTCAAGGTAAAGACAGGGAAAGTAGGAGAAGAAAGCACCTAAATGTGCACATATATGATGATTGACACTGGAAACTGCAGGTGTCACCACAATTAGACCTTAGTACAGTAGAGGATCTGCACCTTTATTGTTTGCTCTGTTGGAGAAAGGAGGTCAAGTTTTGCAGCGTGAGGCAGCAGCCAAAGCGATGAAGGGAACAAGTTCATCATGAATGAGCTCAAAAAATCTTCTTGTTGTGACAGTGGGGGGAAAAAAAAATGTACAAATATGAGGTCTCTCCTCCATATGTCTATTCAATAATTTGCTGTGTAAGGGCTGGAACATGGAACTGTTGTTTTACCTTGCCTTCTGTGAAGCTTTCCAGTACTTGAATGTTTATCCCTAACTGCAAGTTCTGGTTTTCAAAGACCAGAATACCTGCTTCTACCTGAGAAACAGGTAATTACAATTTACCTCTTGTCAGTATAAGTGCTGACAAAAGCAAAGTTTAGGGAAAAAAGTGAAAATGTTTTGAGACTATGGCCATTTCCGGTGGTTAAAAAGCTGCTGTAAGCTTGCCTAAAAATGTGAACTATGCTGAAAGAAGAAGCCAAAAATCTTTCATTTGTAGGACCCTCCCAAATGTCTGGAATTTCTTAGCTTTCCTGAGCGTGAGAAAGAGATTTTTCAAGCATACATTCATCTTTGACATGAAAACACTGAATGCCTTTTAAACTGTCTCAGATTTCTGGCTAGAGTTTCCCTAAGTTTGTGATTTCTAAACTCTAATGCCAGACAAATAGTTCATGTTGCAGGATGCTGAAAAAAAAACCCCTTTTCTATATATGTGCATTCAAAAAAGTATCCTACATTAAGTGGAGGGTCTGGAAAACAACCTATAATGAAGTATAGGTGTATAATTTGCATTCATATGTAACATTGCCCTCACAATAGATAACATTGTGAAGGCTATAAATTCATAGCAATGGCATTTAAGCAAGTAGTACAGACGTGCTCTTGTCTTAGACTGAGCTGATAAAGAAATGTAAAAAAGCTGTATGAAGTATTAATTCAGTCTTGGCAGATTTCACTATGAAAATGATGATTTCCCTTTGAGAAATGCACTAGAAACTGGAAAGCTTTACTAGAAATAAAATAAGCAGTTGCCTAATCATTATAGCACAGCATAACTATATAGAATCAATTATTTATTTTCCACAATCTTGATTAATTTAGAAAAATTAGGTGGCTTTTTAATAACTCTAGTTTTCTCATTAGAAATGCCTGGTTTTGAAGAAGACAGGGGAAAGTGATAAGAAAGAAAATGTGCTTTAGTATAATGGTCTAGAGCAGTTCCAGAGCTGGCAGCCACCAGGAACGCTGCTCTGCAGTGTCACCTGACATGGTGACCAGACAGGTTAATAAAGCACTGTATGGCTGTCCCCAGGCAAGGAAAGAAATCTGTACAACTGCTTTAAAACATCTTACTGCTGATCTTGTGATAGTTGAAGGACTATACTAACAACAGTTAAAAACAGAAGTGTCAGCTCCTGCTTAAGTACGCAGGCAGAAATGAAATGGACGGTTTTCAGGGTAGTTTCCTACACTGGATCATTTCCAAACCAGGATTATTTGGATATTTATTTCTGTAAAATGCAGACAGAAACTATATTTGCCATATATAAGCTATTACTTCAGCTCCACTATTTTTTGACGCTTAAGTTGATTTAAGTTTTTGTCTATATTTAGCTAGTAACAATTTCATAAGAAAAAACATCTGTGTTAAGAGATCAGTCAGGTTACAAAATGCAGTGTTTAAGAGTCAGGAAGAGACAAAAAACACAGAAGAACATGGGTTGTTGAGATGACAGTGAGAGACAAATACCCAGTAGCATACTCGGATGCCTCAGAAT